GGACACCAGGCATGGCACGCAGGTCTGAGCCTGCCCTGCAGCCAGGGAGGCAGCTTCCTGTCTGGACAGCGGGGCCCACACAGCCACTGTGGCGAGGAGGGAGGGGAGGCACAGTAGCCTGGCCGACAGCCCCAGGCCAGCCCCCAGCGGGCACATGGGGCTTTCCGGCTAGAAACCACTCTGCCTCGGCTCGGAAACAGCCCCGTCACCAAGATTTCTTTTTCTGGCTTCTGTTGCCCATTTTAAAAAATCCCCCTCACACACCCAAGAACTCTTATCCAGCACCAGCTATGTGCCAGGCATTGTGCTGAGCTGCCCAGAGCGGCCTCCCCTGTGGGGCGCGCAGTGGGGTGAGGCCCGGCCTGGCACTGCACCCTGCTCTCCCCGCCCGTCAGCCCCGCACCCACGCCTCCCGGGGGAGCTGGGGGAAGCCACTGCCAGAAGCTTTAGTGTGGGGCTGCCCACGGCGCCATCTGAGAAGATGGACTGCTGTCCCCGAGGGCGCCCCCTTGAGGTGGCGCGGCCTCTCAGGACCAGGCTGGGTCCAGTTCAGGAACCAAGGCAACTGGGCCACCGGTTTCCTGAGGAGAGAGGCCTGGCAGAGCGGTACAGTGGGTCTGCTTCGGGAGCGGCTGGGGTCACTGAGGCTGGAAGGTTCTAGAAGAGCAGGCTGTTGGCTGGGACAATGCCCGGTGCACAGGAAGCCACAGCCCCTGTGCCCCTTGCCCCTCGGGGCCCCAAGACAGCGGGGTGCAGGTGTGTGGTGGTTCTCACGCCTCTTGGGAGCGGCCGCGTGCGGGCTTGGGCCACTGGCTCCCAGATCAGCTCAGCGCTCCGGCTGCTCGCTCAGAGACAGAGCCGCCCCCATGAGGAGGAGGGTGGACACATGGGTGAGGAAGGGTGGGCAGGGCCTGGAAGGAAGACAGGCGGACAGAGACATGGGTGCTGGAAAGCAAGCCAGGGGGTCACGCCTGAGCCCTCAGGGCAGTGACTGTTCATTGCTCTGTGCCCAGTCTGGCACACGGTAAGCACTTAATAAAGCCTGATCTGTAGCATCTGCTTGTTTCCCCAACACCTCACCCATGGCCGGTTTCAGGAAGGCTCCTAACCTGCTGTTAGCGATATAGTAAACCGTCCTGCCTAGATGACCCAGAGCTGGCCACCAATGTCCTCCCACCCAGGACAACTCTGGGGTGAACACGACCCAAGCTGCTGCCTGCTTTCTGCTGGGATTGCTGAGCTGCTGGGAGGGACTGAGCTTGCAGCAGCTGGGGGCACCAGAAAGGAGCCGCTTATCTGAGTGAAGACCACAACTGAGAGGTGGAGTCTTATTCTTTTATGTCTCTCAAGCTCCTGGATCCAACTGTACCTAAAACCCACATACCCCTGGACTTTTGAGCTGCATGAGAATGGGTCATCATGCCCTTCACCAAATGTTTCCTGCTTGTGGCCTTCTAGGCTCGTGCCCTGATTTCACCTCCTGGCTCCTTGTGGTCAGAGGAGGCCACAGGACCAGGACCCGCCAGTGAGCTGTGAGAAGCGACCAGGCTCATCAGGTGGACAGTGGCAGTGTCCCCTGGGGTGCTTCCCTGTCCTGGTGCGTGAGACGGTGACTGCTCCGTCACCCTGGGACTTCACGCGGGTGGACAAGTTCTGTGAAGCCCAGACCGGCCCTCGGCCGCCTACAGCTGCTGGACGCCCCCCCCCCCCACGCCGCCAGCAGCCCCAGCCGGCCCAGACCTGGCAGGCTGGTGGCGGCTCCTGTGCTGTGCAGTGAGCTCTCTGGTGCCAGCCCGCTCTCCATCCACCCTCAGCAGAGCAAAGCCCTGCAGGGTCAGAGCCGCCCACACCACCTCATGCTGTGCCCTCTTCTGCAACGGGGAGCACGGGACTGAGCCTCTGGCTTCCCTGGGGGTGAGGGGATGGGTCCTGGGGTGTGGGTTCCGTGCCCACCCCACCGTGCCCCAGCCCAGGGGTTGGCGATGCTCAGCCCCCTAGGCTGGGCTGGGCACCCGATGGGGCTTCCTGCAAGGCCGGCGTGGACACTGTGGGGCTGGGCTGTTCTCGGGGACAACACGGAGGGAGGGCAGAGAGGCCCGCGGCTCCCCAGGCATGGGCCAGGGGCCGTCCACCTGCACCCTATGGCCACACTCCCAGGGGCGCCCTGTCCAGGCGAAGCGCAGCCCGCAGGCGCAGTGAAGCCCCACACCGCCTGTCTACCCCATGCTCCCAGGATGAGTGTGAGGGAGGTAGGGTGAACTGCGCTGCCCTGGTACCCCAGAATCCTGCAGATGTCGAGGGAATGAAAAGCAGGACGGCCACAGCCACGGAAGCTGGAGCCGCCTCTCAGCAGTGAGAACATGGGTCCAGTCTTGTCTGGCTGTCCCCTTCCCAGGGGACCTACTTTGGCTGGCCCCTTCCTCAAAACTGCAGCTAACCTGGCTTTGTTCTTCCCCATAACATGCATCACACTCTATTAACCTCTCTCTCAGGTGGGTGTGATGGTTCACACCTATAATCCGGTACTCTGGGAGGCTGAGGCAGGAGGATCTCCAGTTCAACCCCAGCCTGGGCACCTTAGCAAGACCCTGTCTCAAAAATAAAAGGACTGGGGAGGTAACTCCATGCAAAGGTTCAATTCCCAGGACTGCAAGAAACAACAAATAATTTACTTTTTTTTTTTTTTTTTTTTGGTACTGGGGATCAAACTCGGGTACTTGCGTTTGCAAGGCAGATGGCAGTACCACTGAGCTAAATCCCAAGCCCAACAACAAATAATTTTAAAAGTCCCAGTCTTACATAGGCACAGTACCCACTGCCCGCACAGGGCTCTGCTCAGCGGCCAGGTAGGACCGACAGTGGTAGGAGAAGGGGTCACAGAGCAGGTGGAGTCAACCACGGCACCTGAGCCTATAAGTGGGTGGAGCCGTCCCCAAGCTCTCCCATCCAGCACCCCAGGGCACACGCTGGCCAGACCACAGACTGCTGACACCCGACTCGGGGAGCCTGTGTGTAACCTCCTCCTGCCTCAGCTTCCCCCACAGCAGAAGAGCAGATGGCACCTAGACATGGGTTCCCCTGGCTACAGTGCCCAGAGGGCGTCTGGCGCCTTGGAAGTGCTTGCAGTGCTGCTGCTAGGTGTCATTTCTGAGGACCAACACAGAAGCATCGGGAAACAAAGATGCCTAGGTGGCTGCCACCCCCTACTGGCAAGTGCTGGAACGGCAGGCACTCCTCTGATTTGGGAATAGCCAGGCAGGTGGGGGCAGGGGCGGGGCCGGGCTGTGCTCCTTAGAGACCCTGCCTGGACCGCAGGTGAAGTGCCAGCTGCCACACCCATCTTGGGCACATGCGCACAGGAGTGCCGGAAAACCCCTGGTAGCAGAGCCAAGGGCCCAGGGGAAGATGGCCCCAGGTGGTAGGGGAGGTGGCAGGGGAGGCCAGGACCCACGGTCACCAGACGGGTCACACCCAGGTGGTGGACTGAGGCTGGCAGGGAGGGTCAGGTGCCGTGCAAGGACCCAAGAAGGTGAGGGTGACTGCAGGGCTGGGAGGCCATCTGAGGGCCAGGAGCCATCTGACCACGGGGAGGGGTAGAGCATAAGAATCCGCGGGACTCGGGTGGCTCAAATGTGGGGATACTGACGTGTGAGGGGCGGGGGGAAGCAAGCTACATGTGCTGCACACTTTCCTGCAAAACCACCTCCCCGTTCTGCGCCCCGGCTGCAACCAGGTACAGGCAGTGGAGAGTGGCTTGGGCTCCAGCCCTACCCCTAAGACCTGAATATGCAGGGAAACCGGCTCATGTATCACTCATCTAGGGGAAAAGAATACAAAAACGAGAGCCAGGAAAACGACACGAAGCTGAGGACCCTGCTGTGAGAGGCATGGCAGACCCAAGGCTCCCTCTTGGATTTTATTAGCAGTGTGTGCTCAGCGCTTCTGTCCTAAGTCTGCAGTCCTTCACAACTCCTGGTGCCAGCACATTAGGTATTTCACCTTCACAGCTCCCTGCTGATCTGGGGGACAGCTCACGTGGTCTGCACTGCGGTTTCCGGAGACCGAGGCACAGCTCGGTAGGGCGGGCAGAACAGCGAAGCCAGTACTTCCAGTCCTAACCTCCCTTCCCCTCCCAGGCAGGTATGGGGCATCTTGCGGGTACCACACTTCTAAAGCAGCACACACCTGTTCCTTTTTAGCCGAAGCTGCCCACCGTGCAGCACAGTGTGGATGGCGCTGCAGGAGCCCCGGCCTGGCAAGACCAGGATCCGGGTGCAGGCACAGGGTCCCACGTGCAGAGTCCCCTTCGGTGGGCAGGAGACATGGGCGGTGGGCCCTGTTGGCCAGAGGCTCACAGCCGAGCACCCTGCATGTCCCACAGACCCAAGTCCATGGCTGCTGCGGCCGTCTCAGAAGCAGCCAGACGTGCAAATCCATTTAAAGGTGAAACCAACATGTTTAAAATGTCAGTAACCAAAAGACCTGGTGGGATGTGGGCCGCTGTGGGGTGGGGCAGGGCTGCCCAGCCTCCCGTCCACAGCACAGCACAGAGGCCCTCAGCCGGCTTACCCATCCCGTCTTCCTCAGCATGGCCATTCCTGGCTATTCCAGCTGAGCAGGGGCCCCAGGGACAGAACATGCAAAGCTAAATGCATTCCATTCCACTTAATTAAAAATAAATAAATACACGCAGGGGACCTGTTTGTAAATGAGGAAGGAGGCTGAAAGAACAAAACCAAACCAGGACCTTCAGGGACCCCCTTTCTGGCGGGCAGGATGGCACTCCTTGGGGGCTGCTGGGGCCCTCTTCTGGGGTCCCCACAAGGCCCCTGCCCTCAGTGGTACTTGGGAGGGCCAGGTGGCCTGTGGTGGTGGCAACAGGAGCTGCCCCTCGGAGAACTCAGGGATGAGGCCCCTCCGGAGGCTCTGGTGCTCACCTGAACTAGGGTTCAGAGAGGCTCAGCAGACACGGTACTAGGGAGAGGGAGCGAGAGCCCCAGAGGGCGGGGACCCAGGCCACACGTCCCACTGGCTGGGTGATGCTCGGCCGCAGGTGAGAAGAGACCGGAGGAGCCACGGCACCCTCGGCCTGGCTCTGCCAGCACACGGTCCCCTCGCAGGAGCTCGGCACAGACCGCTCTGCTCCACTCGGGATCCTAGGGCACTGGGGACCAGCGTCCAGGGACGGCCGTGTCGGCGGCGCACAGGCCTACAGGTGGGTCCACTTGTTCCAGTTGACCTTGGGTGGGAAGACGCAGCCCAGGCGGATGGTGCAGTCCAGTGTGGGCTCATAGAAGGCTGTGGTGCTGCCACCCAGCCCCGAGGGCACCAGGGGCTCCGGGTCGGAGAAGAGCGACACAGTGGGGGGTTTCCTCAGCACACGCTTCCGGATGCAGCCCAGGGACTCCAGGCCCTGCGGACACAGCAGGCAGGCGGCTGCACGAGCGGCACTCACCTGCCAGGGTCGGGGGTTGGGGGCCACTCCAGGGGAGCTCCAGGACACCTCTGGACATGCAGGGCCGGAGGTGACAGTGGAGGGGCCCATGCTTCCAGCCGGGTGCGACGGCTTTCTCTGGGGTGACGAAGCTCAGGAAGTGTCTCACTGAACTTCTGGCTGCCGACGTCAGGGAGCAGAGCCCTGGGCACACGGGCTAGGCACACTGGGCAGCTGCCCCAAGCAGGGCGTGGACACACAGCCCGCCAGCTGCATGCCTCACTACTCCACACCTGACGGCCGAGTGTGTGACCCACGGTGGCACCGCTATGGCAACAGGAGCCACTCTTGGGCGGGAGCCGGGGGCACTGAGGCAGGACACCCAGGGGGAGCCCCTGGAAGTCACATCCCCTGCACCCATGGCCCCGCACCTGCAGCAGGTCCAGCACGGCGACAGGCTGCAGGACGCCCTGGTAGTGCTGCAGCAGGCTGCTCTCGGGGACGCCGGGCTTGCTCATGACATGGTACAGCAGGGCCTCCATCATGCCCTTACACACTGGCATGTTCAGCAGGCCGTCCACGCCACGCCACGGGCGGCCGATGAAGCAGATGTCCTCACAGTCCCTGCGGACAGGACACTGGTTCAGAGGTCACGGGCCAAGAGTCTGCCTGCTGCTCCCAGCCTCCCCGGGCCTGCGCTGCAGCTGGGCCATGACGGGGACCTGATCAGATGCAGCTGGAATCAGGGCCGCGGTAGCAAGGGACCCAGGTCAGTCAGAGGCCGCCTCCCCCAGCTGGGCGCACGCCAGCGGGACCCC